GGTAGTAATATAATAATAAATAACAATAATAATAATAATAATAACAATACCCACAATAATAATAAATATAAAATGTTAATATATTAGTAATTAATAACAAGCAACATAATACAAATAATTATAATATATAGAACAGTAATAATAATAATATATAATAATAATAATAATAATAATAATACCATAAAAAATTCTAAATCGCACTCTATATACAAAATCAAACCATAAATAAATACAATAAAAACAAATAAAATCGAAAAAAAAAAAAATTGGAAAAATTAATCGCAAAATTTAAAACTAACCCTCAGATTTTCTCCGGCTAATCCAGGCTGACGCGGAGTGCAAAAGCGAGCGGGGCTGCTCGGCGTTCAGGCGGGTCTGGAAGGTGTCAGGAGGGGCGAGTGGTCGGCTATGCGGACGGAGGAGAGGAGAGGAGAAAGGAGAAGAGAAGAAAAGAAAAGAAGAAAGAAAAATAGAGAGGGCCCGACGCTTAAAGTCCCCTAAAATTTGCGACGACTAATCGGTCCGCAAATGTTTATAACTATGGTCGCAATTTTTAAATGAGCCGACGTCGTTTGAACTAGGCTCAAAAATTTGCGACCGATTTGCGACTACTATATCGGTTCGCAAAAAAAATGGTCGCAATGTAGTCCTTCCAAATCGGTTCTCAGAACTTTGGCCCATTTTTTTAACGCGCGAGTTTTTGCGACAGAAAGAACATGTAGTCGCGAAAATCGGTCGCGAAATCGGTCGCAAAATATCCGTAGTAACACGAGGTTGCAAAAATCATTAACCATTCTCGCGGGAACTTCAGCGCCAAATTTTGCGACCGGTGGCCTTATAAGTAGCAAATCGGTCTCAAATTGCGACCGAATTAAGTCGGTCGCTAAAAATCCGGTCGCATTTTGCGTTTTTTTTGTAGGTATATGTTTTATTAGCACTTATAACTGGCCATAAAAACTCCAATAAATATACTACAAGAGACTTAAAAATTAAAATAATTTCATAACACATCTTTAATTGTTAATTTAAATGAGGAAACTTCATTTTAAGAAGCAGGGTCAAGAACTCATTTCATTTTTTTTAAAATATACCATTTATATATATAGGGAAATGTACTTAAACATCAATAAAATTTTTTTGTTTATAATTAGCAATATTCATTCAATAGCAGCTGGAAACCATATGCTAACTAAGCCCAAATTTGAAAATGCGAGTCCATACCTGGATTGATCTCCTTTTTGCTTATAAATAATAATAATAATAATAATAATAAGATACCTCAATGTAATAATAAAAAGCATATGCACATGCATATAGATATTACACATATATTTTATAAGTTTGTACTATATACTAGTATTGAGAGTTTTACAATTAATTTTAATAACATATATCCGCTCACATACATATGACTATTCTGTTGAACATTCTATACATCAATAACAAAGATTCTAAATAAGGAACTATATACCAATAGCTACGGTAGTAGCTTTCCTTATATTTTACAATGAATTTAAAAAAGAAATCCTGCAACTAGCAGGACCCTCACTCTCTTAACTTTCTTCCTTTCCCTTTCCTGGCGATAGTTAACATAAAGGCACTGTCGGCTGAGCAATAATTGCTTAGTGGTACACATATATAAAATCCAAGGTGTCAATTTAATATTTTTCAAATGTTAACCATAAACTATGGAATAAACTTCAAATATGAAAATCTTTTTCATTTAAATCTTTTTTTTTTTTTTTTGAAAATCGATCTTTTTCTCTCCAACTCAGTAAAGAGTTTAGTAAGAAAGTATATCAACAATAGTGATAGAAATCTTTGTTCAAAATCAATAAACTGTCTTTTTATGAAAATGGTTGTGGAGCATTATAATCATAAGGAAAGCATTAATTCATTGTAAGTAAACATTCTTTTAAGAAATTTGACAATAACCATTTAGTCTCAACCAGCTTAAAAATAGACTCAACCTGAATGGTCATTAGTGTGCCTATGAGCTGCATCAAGACAAAGTTATCTCAACATAAATCGGTGATGTTTTATTTCAAAATAGAAGAGGGACAATCTCAACCTCATTTTAAGAGGGAACAATAATCATTTTCTTATCATCAAATCACAATATCAAACTTGAACAATTGAAGTTTATGGTAGGAAATAACTATGTCCTGTCAGCTGTTGTGAGACTAATATAAATCATTTCATATATTAAAATATAATTGAAAACACATTGGGCAAATCCCTTTCCAACAACTACTACTAAAAACATTCATTTCACAACTGCCCCCTTATATTACAGATAATAATTGGCCCAACATCCTCCTTTCTCTCAATATAAACAAGCTTTTCAATTTAAAAAACTTTTAAAAAAAATTCATAAAGGTATCAAATCATACTTCCTTCTTTTTCAAAATTCCATAAAATCTCCGTTCAATATTTCTTTTATTCATAAAATCATTTATTGATTTTGGAATGTGAAATCAAAATATAATTTTGGTTTTAAACAAAATAAGAAAAGAGTAATGCACTTATAACCTTGAATTGGAAGGCCTTCCTCATAACTTACTCCTCTCGTACTGACTTAATCTTTCAATTCCTTCCTCTCAGATACTGAAGCATGAAAATTAATATTCATAATTAACTCAATACTACTCAATAAATTACACACATACAATCCTAGGAATGTAAATTTTAAGTATTGAAATATAGTATTCATGCCTTTTTTCCCTTCAATTTCACTAATGCTTTAACCAACTACAATTGACCTTAATTTAGGCATAAATTACTTCATTTCCAACTACTTTAATCTCATCCTAGAATATAAAAATAATAACTAAATAATGGGATTAATAACATATTAAAAAGTATGCTAAACTCTTTACAAACTAATGGAATATATGAATTTTCATCATATGAGTAGTTTGGTCTTTCTTTGGCTATATCTCTAGTTTTTTTAAATTCATTTGTCCTGAATTTTAAAACAAAGCATCTTCCTCAAACCTTCAGGCTACTCCTATGTAAAATTTCTGAATTTTGGAGCTTATTTTACATAGCCAAATAACCTAAATAACAATAGTAAATTTTCATATATCAGAATGTCTAATCCCATAGATTAATCAATTCAAATGTAATCAAAATTATCCCAAGTTGGTCGATTATGAACTTAATATCATTCATGCTTAACCATCCTCCACCACTATAATATCCGCTTAAAGTACTTTTTAAAATCACATTCCCATTTCACCAAAGTCAGCAACAATTAAGCAAGCACAGTCCCACTACAAGAAAAACGCTATTTTGCGACCAGGACAATTTGCGAAACCTGACAACTAATCGGTCCGCAAATTTGCGATGATTTGCTACCAAGTAACAAACAGTCGCAGAATTTTAGCCGGTAACAATTCCGGGGCAATTTGTTTCTCATTTTTGCGACTACTATGTGACAGATTTGCGAAACCGATTTGCGACTAATGGGTTATTACCCGTCGCAAAAATTTTCGGCAGGTTCAAATTAGGTAAATAATTTTTGGCGATCGATATGCGACAATATTTGAGACCGACTTATTGCGACCGACTGTGGTAGTCGCAAATAGGTCGCAAACACGAAAGTAAAACGACGTCGCAGGGTAAAAAATTGCGACCGATATTAATAGCATTTGCGACCGACTGTCGGTCGCAAATTTTAGGGCTTTAAACACCCTCCTTCTTCTTTCTTCTTCTTTCTTTCTTCTCCTCCTCCTCTCCTCTCCTCTGTTCACAGGCCGCTCCAGCCGCTCCTGACGCTGCTCCAGCCCGCCTGACGCCACTGCAGCCCCTCGTGACGCCGCTCCAGCCCCTCCGATCACTCCACCCGTCTTCTTGAGGTATTTTGCGATTTGTGTTTCGAAATTTTTTGAATTTAATTTTTTGAATTTCATTTTTTTTTTTTTTTGCGATTTCATGTCTTTGGGCCTAATTTATTTGTATATTTGTAACGTTATTTAGTTTTTATTGCATCTTATATTTTCATTGAACTAGTCTGTTGAGGCATCTATAATCAATTCTCATTGAGACTAATGATTTCCGCTACATTGCTCATATTTCTTCGTAATTGGTTTGTTCTTTTTCATATTTCAACTTTATTTTTTTCTAATTGGTTTAGGCTGGTTCCTTATATTTTGCCAATGTCGCTTTAATTAGTTACATCTTATTCTATAATTGATAACTGTCCCTATAAGGGCAATAACCTTTTATGTTACCTGTTTAAAACGTGTTTTCCATAACAATTTATAGAAGTAGTCTATTTCATAGCAAACAATAATGCATAGCAATTTAATTGGATGAGCCTGTATTTGTCTCTTGTTCAACCAAAATTAATGATAATTTATGAAACAAAGATATGTCTTGCAATTTTGAGCCATTTGAATTTGGAAATTATGTCACCAAAAGCCTTTACAATACAAATTTAAACGGCCTCCTAGCAGCTATTTTAAAGAAAATACAAAAAGAGATGGCCAGTAATTTTTAATTAAATTTTTTTATTATCAAATTATATATTTTTAATTTTACGTAAATTATGAATGTGGGGGAAATATATGAAATTTTGTGCAAAACCGGACATTAATATTATTTTATATTCAAGCGTAAACTGCTTCTAATTCTATATTTTTAGTTCTTTTCTGTTTTATTTTTTTTTTCTTTAAATCCTGTTTGGTCTTACATAAAAATAGCATCTCAAAAGAGTGGTGTTGTGTGTATATATAAAATCCCTCCCTCCCCAATCCTTTCAATCCTAATTGTAGTAGATCCAGTCCATAAGTTAGACCAAGCACTACTACATGTTCATTTACCAACCATCATCATAAGTACAGTACTGCTAATGATGATAAAAACCTAGAAATTGATTAAGGTAGAGAAATAGAAAGAAATTAATTAAGAAAGATAAGTTCTATTACATAAGTACTGAAAATTAACTAGCAATTATTAAATAATTGATCATTAAGCTCTATTATTGCATTATTAAATTGCTAATTATGGCAGCTTGTGCATTTTGTGCATTTTGTGTTGGACCTTATTAGCAGCTCAGGAACTGAAGCATCTTTTGCAGCCAGATATGGTTGTTTGGTTATCATAGAAAATGTAAGGCTCTTTGAAATTTTTAGATCAAAACTTAAAGTTATATGCTTCTTCAAACTAAATTTGGTTTTAGTGCTCTGCAGGTTGAGCGTCTAGCTGTTGGAGCATTAGTCTCTATAAGGGGAATTGGTCGTGTCAAGATTGTGAAATTTTTGCAGGTGAATTTCAAAAGACTAAAGTGCCAACTAATTCGACTAAGTGCCAACTAATTCGATGCCTTTTCAAACAAACTATAAAAGAAGATGATTTCAGTTTTTGTTAGAGAGAAATTGTATGCTAACCTACAGACAAGCTGTACATTCTTACAGACTACTCTTTTTCTTGTTTACCAGGCTAGAATATATTCTCCTTTCTCTTTGAGAAAAGTTAGCCTGCAGTTGTGAATTATGCAGCCTATGCATATGTGCAGTGTGCTGGCCATAATTATTTGTTTATCATCATCTTAGTTCAATGATTAAATTATCCATTTGTGTTCTGTAGTGTTTGTTTTAAACATTATTAGTTCAATGATATAATAAAGTAAATCCATTTGAATGTATCCAATTAAGTGTTGGGTATGTCGTTTGAACTTTCAAGTTTTGGGTCGGCTATTTAGTACCATCCTATATGCCATTGGTGAACCCGTTGTTAGCCGATGTGATAGGCGTTTTAAGGGTATAACCGGCTATATAGGTTCACCTTCATCATTGGTTTTAATTGAATTTAAGATTTCCAAATGTTGTTGGTGAGTGAGATGATAATCCCACCATCCTTTTAACTGACCTGTGAAGCCAGTAATTAATATTTTTGCTATAGCTTTATCAGAAATAAGTGACTGAGTTTTATAAGCATTTGCAGCTATTGTCATTTGTTGCAAAATACTTAATATAGCTATTGATGATGAAAAACATTTTCAAATGACTAGAAAACATATTTCTAAAATGAAAAAAGAACATATTAAAACATCATTAAAATTTCTTAAACAAGAAGAAATACGACAACAAGAAGAAATTAAAACAGATTTTATAAAAGAAATTACACAACCTTTAAATTTAATAAAATTAAATAAGATCATAAAATCACATAAACTTGATGAATTAAAAGAAGAATATTTCAATTATAGATTAAAAAATCACACTGATATAAGAATATTTCAATTATAGATTAAAAAATCATACTGGTATATCATTCTTTGATTGGTATACATTAATTAAAGATAATAAAGATAATAAACGTTTAAAGTCAAGTCGTAAAAGAACTAAAAAACCTGATTTTAAAGAGATAATCTGTAAATCTAAGTCTAAAAATGAATTAGTTCGTCTATTAAAAGATTCACTAAGTAAACTTGAGGTTCAATCTAACACTACTCAACCAGTAGCTATGAACATTCCTCAAACCTCTAATAGTCAAACAGCCAATCCTAAAGATTTTCAGATTTCTACAGTAAATGTTTCTACAGGTGATAAAGACGAAATCGAAAAAGAATTCATAAACGAAATATCTAAAATGAAAAACTTAATCAAAATAAAACATATATTAAAAACTTATACTTTTGAAGAATTAAAATATGAATTTTTAGACTATAAAATTACTATTCAAAATGACATTAAATTCTTTGATTGGTATGAAACTATTAAAACAACGCAATCTGATAAAGATTTACACCCAGTAACTAGTAGAGATAAAAGACCAGAATGGATAGTAAACACTAAAAAGAATTATAAAGATTTAACCTGTTATACTTGTAATCAACAAGGGCACACATCTAAAGTTTGTAAAAAGAACCCATTGTCTAGATTACATAAAGCATTAAATAAACTAGATAAAAAACTAGATCACTTAAATGAAGAATTAGATAAAATCCCTAGCGAATTAAAAAACTTTACAACAGCAATATTTAAACCTTGTCAGCAAAAACTAAAATATAAACCTAAAAAGGATTATACAACCGTCATCTGTTATCATTGTGGTAAGAATGGGCATACATTAAAATTTTGTAAAAGTTTAAGTCAATCTAGTCAAAATAAATTTGTCAATACATTAAAAAACCAATTACGTCAACTTGAGGTTCTTTCAGAAACTACTCAACAAGTAGCACCTGAAATTCCTCAAACATCCAGAATTATAAATATATTAGAAGAACACACCAACTCTGAGGTTAGTGAACCTGACTCAGAAGATGTTAAGCAATTTGACTTAAATCCTCTAAATCATTATAGAAAACTAGTCAATAGAGCACCCGATTTAGGTATAATTGATAAACCTAATACTATTAGTCAATTTAAATACAATGCATCTACAATCTATGAATGAAATATAGATGGATTGATGGTTTAAGTGAATATAATATATTAAGTATTTTGCAACAAATGACAATGTCTGCAAATGCTTATAAAACCCAGTCAACTATTTCTGATAAAGCTATATCAGAAATCCTCATTGCGGGATTTACTGGACAACTTAAAGGTTGGTGGGATTAGAATTAGTAGTTGTTGTTCTTGTTTCTTTAGTACCTTCAGTGGTTCCTATACCTGTCATGTTAAATGATGATAGTGAACCTGTATATGATGAGAATGGTGATGTAATTCAGGATGCTGTGTCATCTTTAATTCTCACTATTTCATTACATTTTATAGGAGATCCATCTCACTTATAAGATAAAAATGGTGAATTATTAAGTAATCTTAAATGTCGAAAATTAAGTGATTGATTAATTAAGTGATTTTCAAGAATATAAAACCACTTTCCTTACAAGATTAATGTTAAGGGAAGATTCAAACCAAGCCTTTTGGAAAGAGAAGTTCTTAGCTGGACTACCTTTCTACTTAGGCGAGAAAATTCGGAATTCTATAAAACAACAGTTTGGTAATCCAATCCCGTATGATACATTGACTTATGGTCAATTAACTAGTATCATTCAAAAGGCAGGATTACAAATCTGTCATGATTTAAAGATTCAATTAAATTTAAAATCTGAAATGAGTAAAACTCAAAAAGGATTAGGATCTTTTTGTAAACAATTTGGTTATGACATGACTTCTACCAAACCTTGTAGTGGTCAGTGTTCTATATCAAATTTATCTTCATCTTATAAATTAACTTGTTATATTTGTGGTAAACCAGGACATACGTCCAACGTTTGTAAAAGAAAACCTTCATTTAAAGATTTAACTTGTTTTCATTGTGGTAACAATGGTCATACTTCTAAATTTTGTCGATTTAACAAAAAATTAAATGCATTAAAATTAGATAAAGAAATATTAATAAAAATTCATAAATTATATCTTGATTCAGACACTTCAGACTCTGAGTTTATAGAATCTGATAAACTCATGGTGAAATAAGGTTTCACCTGCCTTTTACTCAGATGAGGACGATGTGTCCTTCTTTTTCTTTTGCTTTACTTTGCTTTTTTGCTTTAATTTTTCATCAATAAACAAAGTACAACCTATAGACATAGGTTGTACAACCTATAGATCGGCATACAACCTCATTCAATTGGTTGTGATTAAAACCCGCCCTTTCTATTTCTTTTGTTGGGGATAGTAATGGTGAAAATAAAAATGGAAGCAGGGATACATGTTCTCTCAACCTCTAAACTCCTCTTAAACACTTCCCCTGCATAGTAAATCATTAACAGGACTTCGTAAAGGACTGACAAGGCATAACCTCTTCTTCCACAGAAGAGTCAGGTAAAGCGATCATACCCGATCATGGTATGGCTATTTAAACCTAAAGCGATCAATACCCGCATCAATGTCTTTGGCATTCCGGTCTCAAAACGGTAGAACGGTAAAAGGAATTATCAAATCCGTATAATGGCTGTGGATTTGCCAAAAATCCAATATATTGATTATTTAATTGTTTACTCAGGCTATATGTAAAGACGTTGTTTGATTAAATTGTTTAATATCACTATTTTAAAACCCATACTCGAACAATCCAGCTGGGCTTCTTTTCGCCCTGGGTATATTATGGGTATATTAGCATGGGTATATTAGCAAGCAAGCCTATATTAGCAAGCAAGCCCATATAATAGGCCCAAATGGTCTCAATAATATTTGGCAGAAAGAAAAAGATAAAATTATATTATCATAATCACCTTCACCTTCACATGGCGATAGTGCAATTCATGATGATATTCCATTATTAAAGTCAAAAGATAAAAGATAAATCAAAGAAAAGAAATGTGAAGAAGGAAAAGAAAAATGAAGATAAAAAGAAAAAAGTAAAAAGAAGGACAACTCATCGTCCTCATCTTCTTGTAAAAGGCAGAAGGAACCTTATTCCTTCAATTTGATCTCATAAACTAGTGGCAGACCAAAGACTATTCATACACAGTAAAGGTCAACCATTATTCAGCACAGTAAAGGCCAAGCTACTTTTTCAACAGTAGAAGCCAAAGTTCAACAGTAAAGGTCAAAGACACAGTGGCAGACAACCCACTGTTCATCCACAGTAAAAGCAAGATTTCATGGCAGATATGTCACTGTTCATTAACAGTAAAAAGCAAATAGTATAGATTCTTAAAATTTCTATATAATGGGAGCCTTTCCCCATGTGAAGGCATTGTCCAAATATAGGCAATCCTAAGCCCAAAAGCTTAGTTAGTAAACCCCTCTCCTCTCTTTCCAACGTCCACTGTAAGAATTCAAGGTTAGAGATTCTTTAAACTTTGTAAGTCTAATCTTTTAAATTTTGTATATGTCTTTTTTTAAATTTTGTTAATATGTCTTTCCATTTTTGTAATCAATTTTAATCTTTTGTAATTAAAGTAAAGTTTTATATTTTTGTTTGTAAGAATGTACTATTATTAAAGCCCTGTTAAAAAGGCTTTTCGCTTCTCTCTTCCTCCCTCCACACTTCTGACCTTAGTTTCTGGGGATCCCAGGCCAGGCTAAGGTTGCAGGAACCCTCAACCTTAATTAAAATAAAATCAATTAAAATTGGTTGAGTTAATTGATAAATATTTGTGATCTGTTTTTTGTATAAGTATGCTCTGTGGATGCAGCTCAGTCTGATCTTCCACATCAGAAATTTGTATTGTTTGTTTATATTTGTTTGATCTAAACAGTAACTGTTTGTTCATGTTAAAAAGACAAACAGTAACTATTTCTTAAACGGAATCTAAACAGTACTTGTTTAAGTATTGGTATATAAGTATTGGTATATAGGCTGGAAACCCAGAAGTGCGGGCTACTGGTCCAAAGGACTATTTAATTAGTCATCTTCTTGGTATAACAAAGCCACGTATCATACTTAAATTGTATGTTGATTCTCAGGTAAATGAATTTTATAAGTGTTCATATAAATCCATTAAATCATAGTATTTTCATGTTACTTCCGCCTTAAAATTGGTATCAGAGCCACTAGGGCACTATCGGGCCCGCTCCATGGAGGGTTCTCACAGTGTGACACTGTGACGAAGCACTGGCTCTTACCTCCAAGTTATCCTATTCGACGCTCTGAAGCCTGGCGGTTAAATTCCCCAGATCCTTCACCGTCAGCCCTTCAATGGGGTAGGTTGGCATTGTCGCGAGGCAACAAAATCGATAAAGCCGTAAAAAGTGGTTCTGAGGTACTGCAGGTTGGAATACTTCAAAATGTGTAGCTTATTATGACTCAGCTTCTCCAAGGCAACTAATTATTTGTTTGCAATTCCAATTTGCAGTCAGAGCCTTACTTGATAGGTGAAGTTATCCAACAAAGGACTAAGATTATCCTTCGAAGGTGAAACATTATAAACTCAAAAATAACTACAGTAAAGGAGGTCTCTTTACAGTTTGAATAGCTTGGAACTTAATATTAAAGGTAAATCACTGTTTCTGAAATGTGTCCAAATGAGAGCACAGCGGATTGTAATGTTATTCATATATGACAGCAAAATATTGTTGTGGAAAAAAATAATGCTATTCATGGATTGAAGGGTTTTAAATGATTTAAATTAGTTATTTTGGATATTATTATGAAATAATGCTTTATTTTTATTATTGTTGTTATTATTCTTAAATTTTTTTTTTTAATGAATGATGCGTTTGGTTTGGTTGGAGGCCTAGTAGTGGCCATTTTGCTTTTGGAGAATGTTGGTATGATATAGGAGTGGATATTGAAGTGTTTTTACATTTGAAATTTGATTGAGTTGTGCCGAAGTGCTGCCGAATTTTTAGCAAAAAAATTCAATATGTGGAATCGTATACTTACCTTTATTAGGGTAAAGGTATTATTAGGGTAAAGGTAATAAATGAACTTAGTGAATAAATGAACTTAGTGATTTTTACATTATATTATAGGTACCCTTATTTATAGAAATAACCTTAGTTAGTTATAAAGTGTAAATTGAACATTACATTTGGCATGTTTTAAGGATGGTTTAGACTAATGCAATTACATATAATTTGCCCTTTATAAACACAGTGTTAACTAGGTAAAAAAAATGCGAACTAATCGAGATTGGATGTGCTGGAGGTACGAGGTCAATGGGATATTAGGACAAGAGTTCTTGCAAGGATTAGAGGCGTTTATACAGTTTGCGGTTGGTAATCCCAGTTGTATGGATGGTAATATGTTGAGGTGTCCGTGTAATCATAAGAAGTGTCGAAATAGAGCCTTCTTAGACATCGATACAATTAAACTTCATTTATGCAAAAATGGGTTCGTGGAAAATTATTATGAATGAAATTATTACGAATGGATACATCAATGGTGAAGCTCGAGTTGCCAGTGGGTTCAGGGCACTCCATCCCTTTCGGTTAAGTTTTAGAAGTTCAGCCTTATCAATTTCTCTATGGTAATCAATTGCAAAATGAATGGTGATCGATGCGAGTAGAGTACAATGTGATTGGGATAATATGGAGGAATTCCAAAAGTTGCAGCAAACAATTGTTTTGACATGCTAAGTGCAGCTAATCAGTGAACTGTGGCTTGGATTGGCAGAATTCATTCCAGTTCTGTCTGTTGTTGCACGATTTTTACTAACATGCAAGCGGGAGCACCATTTTTCAGAAAGGTGTTACGATGATTTTGTGGCAGTTAGCAAAAGGAAATGTTGCTGAAAGGGCCATTCAATGGTTTGATAATTTTATCGGACAAAAAATTAAAGTTTCGGGGATTAGGACTACCGGTAGAAAGATGGATTGCTGTCGTAATAATTGTATGATATTTCCCTGGGGTTGTTTGCCCTCCGAATTCAGAGAAATGCAAGTTTTGTAAATCCTTCCAAGATATCAACGGCGGGGTCAAGGGACTGGTAGAGTACAAAAGAGAGAAGGCTTGCCCGAAGATGTATTATTTCCCTCTTGTCTCGCCTTCAAAGGTTATTCTGCATCTAAGGGCGACAGCTTGAACACATTGACATGGCAATGCCTTTGCAATGAACAGAATGATTGGTATAATGACTCATCCTCCAGACTCTGAAGCATGGAAAACAATTTTCGATAACAATTCATCCCTGTGTTTGCTGCTGACATGAGAAATGTGAGATTGGGGCTTTGTACTGATGGGTTTCAGCCTGTTTGGCCAATCAGGTATCAATCAAATATCATCATGGCTGTCATTGTGAACACGATATAATCTACCACCGTCAATGTGGGTATGAAAGATGAATATATGTTTTTTTGTGTGTTATTGTTCCTGCCCTAACTAATCAAAACATAAAATTGAATTTGTGTTTCTGCAACCTTTGATTTTGCCGAACTTAATTATTTATGGGCTATGGGTTGAAACCATTCCGATATTCGACCATCAGAATTTTCAAATAATTTTCGCGCTGCTTTGCTTGGCCCATCAGTGATTTTCCAGCATTTGGAATGTTAGTCTGGGTGGAGTACGGCTGGCAAATTGGCATGTCTCATTGCATGGAAAACAACAAATGCATTTACACTAAAGAATGGAGGTAAACACATGTTGGTTTGATTGTCATCGCATTCTTACCCCAGAATCTCAACCTGGAGGAGAATCGACAATGCTTTAGAAAGAACACGACTATTGTTGAACCCTCCACCCTGTGAAGTCTGGAGCTGAAATATTATAAGAAATTGAAGATCTGGGGCTTATGAAAGTTTACAGAGTTAGGTGCAGATGAGGTAAATTACAAGAATTGGCAGGAATAGCGGGTGGCGAAAAGCGAAGCATCTTCTGGGATTTGCCATACTGGAGTTCACTTCTTATCCGTCATAACCTGATGTCATGCACATAGAAAAAAAATGTGTTGAAAATCTGTTCAACACTGTATGAACACTGAAGGGAAAACCAAGGATAATGCAAAAGCCTAGAAGGCAAGACATGAAGGAAATTTGTCGTCGACCAGCAAACTCGAGCAAATCTGTACCTTACTGGTAAGCTTTCCCAAAGGCATGTTATTGTTTTAGATAAACCCAAAGGCAATTATTGTGGCGAATGGCTACGATCATTAAGGTTTAGATGGCTATCTGTTCAAATATGGGCTTAGATGTGTGGCACAGAGGAGCCGATTGCTTTGGTATGAAGTACCATGATAAAAAAAAAAAAAAAAAAAAAAAAAATCTTAAGTATATAATGTAGTAAAATGTTATTTAGACTTTTAGAGATATATAGAATAAAATAAGTGATTATCATTTTGAAAATAAAAATAGAAAATTTTCAGTTCGAACTGGCCTGGAACCGCCGGTTTACCACCGGTTCAGATTCAAATTTTAACATTCACATGAACTTTAACCGGCCCTTGAACCAATGGTTCAGGTCCGGTTCCGGTTCATCTACAGTACTGTTCGGTTCCGGTTCAAAATAAACTAGTGGCTATGCCTAGAATGAATTGAAATTTTCTATGAACTCTAGTTTATTGCTCATTCTTTAGTCCAAAGAGCATAATAATAGTTTGGCTTGAATTGATACTTAATTTGAATCAGAGAAGAGTTTCTGTATATTCAACTTTCCATGAAGGTTCCTTTTTCTTTTTCTTGCTTCAGGAAATCACTTTAGTTTGTAATCATGGGCCTTTTAATGGTAGTGCTTCTTGACCATCACCTTTTTCACCAGTTACTCTTTTTACAGGGTGTATTTACAGCACATCCACATCCTATTGAGTGTTGTAGCTGAAGGAAATATAAAAATTTTAAGTGTGGAAAGAGGAGTATCTAGGAACTGCCCCCTCCCAAAAAAAAAAAAAAAAAACCAAGAGATACAATGCGGCTCACTATTATTTTTATTGAATTGCGAAGAGATCAACACCATATGTACAGTAAGTATACATAATGTAAACAGGTCCTAAATTGATTGGGCCGTTGTTAAATCATACTTATGCAATTTGGGGTTCGTTGATAAATAGTGAAATATATATCAATCTTTTTGCGCTGTCAAATCCCAATTTGCCTGATACTGCAGTTTGATGGCAAAAAGCTGGACACGGAAGTTTGCAGAATGGTTTAATATTATGTAAGTTACTTTAAAGTACACAACACGGAAATGTACATTTATTAAATCTGACTCATGTCATTACTATTCCCATAGGCTCGAAGCTTGGAAAAGCGATATTCGTAACAGATTTTAAATTACGGATCTGGCAAAGGGGCCATTACTGGTTGCTATCGCCTACTCTGGCTACTATTGTAAAACGGTTACAAGTTTTCACACTGAGGGTTATGGGAGAAAGCAGAAAGACCAATGAACAGCGGTGTGTGCATAAGGGATCGAGACTATCAGTGATGTGGTCAAAGCGATTTTTATGGAAAATTGGTTGAGGTTTTGGAGTTTAGAAATATCCAGGCCTACCAATGAAGTGCAAACAATCTTATTCAAATGTGATTGGTTTGATTCCTACGCCAAACCATTGGCACGAAGGTTCAATCCCCTAAGTAATATCTGGTAGATATTAATCAGAAGAAGATATACAAAGTAATGAACCTTTTGTGTTTGGCAATGCATAGTGCACGAGGTATACTTATGTCCCATATCCATCGTTTAACGAGACCGATGCGATTGGATGGCAGTGTGGTAAAATCAAGGCTAAGATCAAGTTGTTCTTGGCACTTGAAACCAAACAAGCTGCTTCACTCGCAGTATCGGAGCCAATTTCAAGAAGTTAGTGGGTTAAAACGCAACCGATGCAGTTGTTGAAGATTTAACGAGAGATAATTGGATGAATGAAAGCCGAATCTTATGTTGAAACACGGAGCATCGGATTGATGAAGAGGAAGAAGGAAATCAAATCATCATGGGTAACTAGAAGCGAATGATGAAAGAAGAGTGAAGCGATGAAGAAGGAGGAGGAAGCAGATGATATTGGAAGAACCTTAAAAACTTAGAGCAATTTTTAACTATTACAAAGTTCGTAAATGTATATCTAATTAATATTATTAATGAAGAAAATCAACAGTATTAAACTTTTCTTTAACTCATAATTTACGACAATGTTCCAACAATTCATATAATTGTATAAATTCATTTTTTTCTAGGTTCTGATATCTGCAGTACAGATGGCTAGAGGCCAGATGCGTTTGATTCTGACACGTCCGGCCAGTGTTCGCGTGGAGGACGTGGCCTTGGAACGCAGTGCCGTGGAGCAGGAGGGTCGATCCCTCAATCCTTCGTCAGTAACGTTCTGGTGCTTCGTCATCTGATCAGCGACCATACTGCCCTTATCCCTCCTTCTTCTTCAGGTACGTCTGGGGCTTCATCCTCTGCTCAACGACAAGTACTGCCGCCATCACTTCCTTCTGCTCCTTCCTCTTCTACCCCCGTTTCTAAACCAGTACAGTCTTCACTAGCTGCACAGTCACCTACTATGCAAGGTAATCACAATTGCTAAGCAAGTTCT